CGAGAGGATAAGGTCAAACCCATCCTGGATACTCCTCCCCCCACTATGAGAAGAGGCGTATCAGGTAAGTACCAACGCCCTATCTGGTTCATTGAAATTGCTATACCAGGTGAGAAGGATTGTGGCAAAAGAAAGCATATAGTGCCAATATTAATAGGATGCCTTGGGTACAATCCGGAAATAACTGGAGCATCACTTGAACACCACTGGCACTTGCAAAATCACCATTAGTCAGATGTAAAAGGCATTGGACCAGGAACATCCTGCAATAATACCTTTATGACCATCAAGAAATAACATCTGCGTATTCCAGGTCCAAATTTTTAAAATTTTATGAAGAACTCTGAATTTCACTACATGTGAAGGATATTAAGGTAGGATTGCCAGATTTAGTCTGCAAACCATTAAATAGTAGCCCGTAGAAAGTGTTTGTAAATCAGTTACTGGCATGGTTAAAGAAAGCCTTTCTTGCCATTAAAAAAAGTAAAATTCGCTTTTGCTATTTTGAGAAATAAAGATTTGATAACAACTTGAGATGAAGCATTGCAATTGTATCTTTACGTAGAAACAGCCTGTTTGCTTCATTTATGTGTTCTTAAACAGTAGCAGACTATGCCTACATCAGTGAGTACTTATTGACATTTTTATTGTTTATAAAATAGAAAATAAAATAGAAACAAAATTTTAAAATATGTATGTCATCTTACTAGTGTTGGTTTACTTCTACAGGACTTAAATAAACGCTTGTCACTACCTGCAGACATTAGGATACCTGATGGATATCTTGAAAAGTTTCAAATAAACAGTCCACCATTTGATCAACCAATGAGTCGACGATCTCGTAGAGCATCATTGGTAAGCTCTTTTACCTGCAATAGATAATTTTACTATATCCTTCATATTTTTATTGCAGCACAGAAGTTTAGATATGCTATAGCAAAATGATAGGTGTCTTAGAGCACTTGCAGCTGTACTGTGATATAATTCATTTAATTAAATGATGTATTAATATTTTCTAAATAAGGCTCAAGGTCTGTATTCACCCATAACACTAAGCTTTAATTCATAATTTGCAAACTAGTAATTTAGATCCTCTTATTAACTAGTCAACAAACATAAATGTTGGCTTATTATAAAGTGTGAACGCAACTGATTTCTAGTGTGAAGCCAACTTCATTATAGTTATGAAATTTGTTTGGAAAACAGGAAGACAAATGCAAGGATGGATCTCACATTGGTCAAGTATAATAATAAGACAATGGATAATAAACCATGCTTATAAAATACAGGCATTAAACAGCAATTGGGACCACAAGTTTACTAAGACTTACATACCACTCCATAGTGCTTTATAGTACTCTAAGCAGTTTACAAAGCCAGCACATTGCCCTCAACAATCTGGGTCATCATTTTACCAACCTTGAAAGGATGGGAGGCTCTGTCAACCTTGAGCCCGAACTCCTGGCTGTGGGCAGAGTTAGCCTGCAATACTGCATTTGAACCACTATACCACCATGGCTCCAGAAATGGCAATCCTGCAGTTCTGGTTGTCATCGTAACCCAGGACTCTGCAGTTCATTTATCTGGAAGAGACAGAAGTCCCAGGCAAGTAGGCCAGCAGTGAGAGCAACAGATAGACAAGAGTCTTGCGGTGTTCTGGAGTACCAGTGCCACAGGGAGGCAGGGGTAACCGTGAACAGTGCTAGGAGCACAGATGCTGCAAAGGGAATGAAGGGAACTGCATTCAGGTGCTACAGAGTGGGTGGGCAAAAAAGCAGCAACAGTAATTTCCAGCTTCCTGCTAACTTTTCCATTAATTTTGCTTGTGAGAAGCTGGCAGTGAATAGCAGAAATCACAGTCACGTGACCTTGTCTTGCTGCAGTATTGTAATCATGAGCCAGGCACCAAATGCTCAGATTCATCCCTGGATCAGTCATATGATCCCGGGATGCTGTGACAGCTGGAACTCTTGAGTGCTGCTCATAAATCCCTCTTGTTCAGTTCCATCATAACTTTGAATGGCCTCTGAATGAGTATTCATAACCATGGACTATCTGTAAGTGTTAGCATCGTGAGTAAAGGTAAAATAATCTCTATTTAAATAAATAGGGAAAAAAAGGGTTTTATAGATTTTAAATTCTCCAATTCATTATGAATTATGCAGACAAATTGGTTTTAAACATTATTTAGTATTGTTCCATCATGTTTTCACTTTTAGATACTTGCTGACTATAAGATATTCAACCTGATCCCTTGGGTCTTCCAAATATTTGCCCATCACCCCAGGGCTTTCTTCTAAAGAGCCATAATTAATTTATCTAATTAAAGACTTGTTCAGTTTCAAAGGGAAAGGGGCACCTTGAAATACGTATCTTTTCCAAGGATCAGACCACAGTTGTGGAAGGCAGCCTCAGTGGCCTCTCCCAAGTCAAGCATGAACACAACTACACAAAGAGATGTGTTTGGTTTTTTTAAATCTCTGTTTACTAAATGAAACTTGCAAACACACCCACTTACATTATAGAAACAAGTTATTACCTTCCGGACTTCAGCAGGTTTGGCTTAACCAGAATTCCAATTCAAAGTAGCGCATAGGAGAGTAGTCGGGTGGAGTCCAAAGGTCAGAGTTTGTAGCAGAATTGTCAGCCAATCAAAGTTCAAAATCAGAGTTGCAGGGTTCACAAGTCAAGGCATATTGAGTGTGCATTAACAGGCATTTGCCCTCAATGGAGAGCTTGTGCTTGCTCTCCGTTTTAATAGAAAAATCCCTCGTGTAGTCTCATTTAGTGGGATGGGATTCCTTCCACTTGAGCAGTCTTACAGAGTGCCTTTGTGCTTCTCTTTGCAGCCCACAGGCTCATGCTTTGGAAGGGGCGGTAATTTAGCACCTTGAACGATAGGTGATAGTAGCTGTATCTATCCAACCTCCTCTGCCTGCTCAGACTCTGTCTGTTAGTACTGGAGCTAATTGCTTGTTATCTGACAGTCTTTCTGGATCTGATTCTGGTTCCTCATCGTCAGTCTCCTACTCTGTCTCCAAATCAGAGCCATCCATGACACTATCTACACTGAGAAGTTCCTTACTCTTGAAGACAAACTCTGATATATAAATGTTTTTCAAGTAAAGCATCTTTTCTCTTTCAAATCTGAAGTGCTGCACACAGCCTTCCTTTACTGAATATGTTTCTCCAGCCCAACAGCAAGACATTCTGTCGATGGTATTACCATAATTGGGCATGGAATCACGGTCGTTGAACAAAGCATAGTTAAGTGAAGCACCATGTGACTACTTCACTCAACGACCACAATCCATTCTCTGCCACAAAAGGGTTGCCGTTAAATCCACAGAGAACCTTCTACTGGTTTAGGATGCAGTGGCACATGCAGTTTTGAGTGCCCCACAGTTAACCTGAGTAACACCACTGCTGCACTGGATTCCAGTTGTTTCCAGGTGCAATTCAAGTTGCTGGTTATCACTTTTAACATCTGCAGTGTCTTTTTAAACTTTGAAATAAGTCCCACTGGGTTCAGTGCAACTTATTTCCTAATAAAAGGTCAGGAGCAAAACCCCCGTGGGTGTGTTCTGAACAGCCTCTTTTGTCCTGATTAGACTCCCTATACAGCCTAGTTTCAATTTTTTTTGAAAGATTTTTAATCTTAAAAATTATCACAGCAACAACAGAAAACTGACATGCTGCTACAATGCATACATTTAAGCACAAATGTTTCTTGCAAGAATGCCTCTTGTTCCAATGTAAATCTCAGAGATATTCTGGGTTAATAGAAAAAATTCAAAAGCTTTTCTTTAGAAGTTGCCTAGAAAGTAGGATAACAGTGGTAAAGAGCACCCTAAGTCATTTGAAGGAGTGCCTGAAACAAGCTAATCCATTTCTGTTCTGATAAATGGAGATGTTATCATTCACCAAGCTCCCCATGTGAATCATATTGCAAAGTAGGCAGTCCCCTGAGTTAGCCATTTGGGGAATATTCCCATGTCAATTTCTCAGAATTCTAAATGTACCCCCCAACTGGCAATATTTGTTCACTACTGTCCCAGTGAACAGCATTTAGTTACCATATCTAATTAGTATGGAAACAATAAGAGAAATGTACTATGACTTTTCAAAGGTTTCATTTGTTCATTCATTAATTTAAATTTTATTTGACAGCATTTATATTGCTGGTGTACAAGTAGTAAATAGAAAAGCCTAAACAAAAAAGTAAATGAATAATAAAAGCCAGTATAAACAAAAATATATCCAAAAATGCCTCTGATAGCTACCCTTTCAACTAGGGCTCTTTGTTAAGTTTAGCTGTTTATGGAATGCAAAAGAAATGAGCTGAATGGACTTCCATGGGAACAGTGTTGTGTCTTCTAGTCCATTTTCAACAGACAATAATCAGATTGAAGCACACTCAGTCCTTGAAAATGAGAATACTGTTATTTTTAATACACTTTCTATTACTCCTATGTTTTGTAAAGTAATAGTTTCTTAATCATATGTAAACAATAATGATATGCCCTGATAGAGATAGTAATAACATTTTAAGACAGCACAAATTATTCTATTATGAAGCTGTGTGGTGAATAGAGACTGACATGAGCAAAGGAAACCATACTACTAAAGATTTAGTGCAAAGAAAGTTCATGTATCTAAGTGGTTTTCTAGCTCTCTTATCTATTCAAATGTTATAAATATGACTCAGGGATACTTCAGGTGTGCTTATGAATACAATATAATGTTACACATTCTTGAAGAAGACAATCTGATCTTTGTATGAATTTATTTTCATTGTATTTTTTCCTTGTTTTTATTACAGTCTGAAATTGGATTTGGAAAAATGGAAACTTATGTTAAATTAGAAAAGCTTGGTGAGGTATGTCTGCTTTTTTAAACTATCAATAAATAAAATTAGTACAAATTACGTTTTAAATGACAATAAAGGCAATGACTTGACCAAGCTCAAAATAAGAGAGAGAGCACACTGGAAATCAAAGAATATATATTCCTTAGTGGTAATATTTGGCTTTCTGCATGATAATTATGGGCAATTGTTTTCATTTAGCAAAAGTATTTGTGATAAACATATTATATAAATACAATTGAGGGGTCCTTGGTGCTCTCTGAGCTTGTTTTATTGCAGATGTTTCATTATGATATATAATTTACTTGATTGTTGGTCTGATGTTAACCTAATACGGTGTGAAATTAAAGAATTTTCATCATCCAGTTGGTGTTCATAGATGTATTCTGCCAGTCTTCTGCCTGTTTGTCCTACATAGTAATTGTTGTAGTTCTTATATTATATGTGGTAGATCTGTGATGGTGAACCTATGGCACATGTGCCAGAAGTGGCACGCAGAGTCATTCTCTGGGCACGCTAGCTGTTCCTTCTTCTGAGTTCCAGCGTGCTCCGGCCAGCTGGCCTTTGCATACACAGGAGCACTAGAAACCAGAAGAGCAGTTCCCCATCTTGCATGCACGTGCTGGGAAACTGAGCTTCCGGTTTCCAGCGTGCCAGCTGGTCTTTGTGCGCACATGCATGCCGGAAACTGGAAGCTCAGCTTCCTGGCATGTGTATGCATGCTGGGTAACTGCTCTTCTGGTTTCTGGTGCTCCCGCATGTGAGCTGTTCTCCCACTTTCCAGTGCTCCTGCAGGTGCATGTCGGGGTGCTCCCCCCCCACACGCACTCTCATTTTGGCACTCAGCGCCGAAAAGGATCGCCAACACTGTGGTAGATGGTTCCTGTGTACGACGGTAAACAATACCACAATCAAGAAACTGTCAAAGAGTCAACAGTAAACAGCCCAACCAAAGAATCTCTAACACCACCCCCACCAACGCTGACAGACAAGCCACCAGAATATAAACTGACAGCAAACCACACTCTTTACTAGCACTGATAATGTTACCTAGTTTGGGTAAAGAAACATCTGCAAGAAAATAAGCAAGCTCAGAGAGCACAAAGGACCCCACATTTCAACCCTGGGCTGCAAATATTCTCCTTTATTGATAAATACTTTTTTTAAAAACCTTTTTGTGCATTGCTATTGTTCTGCCCCGTGAATTTGAATTTGTTTCAAAAGTAAATCAATACAAAAGTTTTATTGTTTTCTATTAGGTAGCTCCATAAATGTCATAAGCTGTTGTTTGCTTGCAGAAGTTTCATTATCCAACTAGGTAACATCATCAGCGCATGATAGTTAACACCATCATCAGTACGTATATGATTAAGTATACACGGATATAATATTCAGCTGATAGGAAGAGAGCTTTTCTTCCACCCCACTTTATCTTTAAAGTGAGAGGGTTGTTTCTGTGTACAGTACTTCTGAAAACATTACCTTCAGTTACTCTTCTAGGATAATACCACTCCCTGTGTTCCATGAGTAATCCAATGGTTTTCCAAAATGTAATCCTTCAAATGGTATGATAGACATAGGCCAGTTCTAAATCAATCCTGTCTGAACTATCATGTCCAGTGCAGCATAAACATGTTCTAAATTATTAATTAACTTCTGGTAAACTGCTGAACCACCCTTGGAATGGATAGATTGGCATGGTCCAGAGGAGAAACAGAATGTTCCAGAGTTATCCAAAACATTTGCTTCCGAGAACTGCAGAGTTTGCACATACTTAGGGTAGTACAAAGAACTGAGGTAGATGGATTAATAATATGAAATGAGTAGACACTCTTTCGTATTTTGTGAGAAGGCCCTAAATTGTTTGGCAGTGGTGAAGCTATTGGGAGAGTTATGAATTGGGTATAAATAGCTATGCTTTCAATGACACCATCTTTAAGATTGGGTTCTTTCAACCAATATATAGTAATTAGTATGTATCTGATTCTGAGCTAATAAAGTTCTAATTAGTTTTTTCCCCCTTTAATTTGTAAATTTGTTATTCAGGGTACATATGCAACAGTATATAAAGGAAGAAGTAAGCTGACTGAAAATCTAGTAGCTTTAAAAGAAATCAGATTAGAGCATGAAGAGGGTGCACCGTGCACAGCTATTAGAGAAGGTAAGTAACACTTTAATTTGGATGAAAATATGAGAAGAAATTATAATTACATAATTATATCTAATGTGAAAAAACAGGTTTAATAGACCTGATATGCTTGGTTTCTAGTTCAGAAACACCAGAGTAGAAACTGCCTTACACATTTTTTGCTTCTCCACAGAACAAAACAAATGTGGGCATAGAGGAAACATAACCTTAAGGCCTGTTGCTTATAACCTCTCCCTCCCTCCTTCCCTCCCTTCTTTCCTTCCTTCCTTCCATTTCTATGTCTGCTCGTTTCAGTCAATGATTCTATGCAGTTTACAATTCAGAAAACATATTGTTAAAAAATGTAAACAGGTGTAAAAACATTTAAAAACAGTAAAACCAGCAAAAAAACATTAAAAGCATCCAATTCAACATAAACATAAACAAAAGCAGTTAGCAATTAGCAATATATCCAGGAAATGGGGCAATTAACATATTCAGTGCCTAGACTTGGGAAATTTTGCTATTGTTTATGTCCCAACATCTGAAAATTAAGCACTGATTATTTGTGCCAGTTTTAAATAAGCTTTTTATTTCTCCAATGTATGACCAAAGCAAAATGCTTTAGAATTAAACCAAAAAAGAGAATATATTGAATTGTAAGGTTTAAAGTAACAGAATCAAATTTAAGTCTCTAATCAAATTTAAGATAAATGGTAGAAAACTATGTTCTTATTCAACTCTTGGTGGAGGAAATGTCTTAATTATCTTATATTCTATGACATTTAGGATATGTATAAAGTTTGAACAATAATACAGTAATGTAAGGTTCTTTATGAAAAATGCTGCAATTTTATTGCTTGCTTAAAGAACTGTAAAATATTTTGAAGTAAGATGTTAAGATTCCAGAAAGTTAATATTTCATCAGTAGTGAGCCATTCCAAATTCATTGCAATTGGATCGATGAAAAATGGGCTGTTTAAATTAGCAATACTTATGATAAATACTTACCAGTTTTTCTTAAATGAAGTGGTTACCTGCCCACAATTTACTTCATAAATTTTATTTACTTCTTTTCATCATCAAGATAACTTGCTGCTTTTTATGTAAGCTTTTGCTCAAGTCAGGGCATGTAACTAAGCTATTTTGATGATGATGATGATCAGACTTCTCATGGATATATTTTAAGCACAAAAGAATACAAATTCCGTGTAATTGCACTGAAAAGATTAAATCAATTTAGGCCAAATTGCTAATTGCAGCTGTAGTTATTTCAGTTGATATTTTTCCCCCTGGATGTGAAGTTCCTAAACCAAACTACAAAGCAGTGTGTGTGCTTTAAAGCTGTGCTTTAGACCAGGAGTGTCAAACTCAAAGCCTGTGGGCTGGATCTAGCCCACGGGGTGCTTAGATCTGGCCTGCAGGGCCGCCCTGGAAATAGCAAAGGACCAGCCCACGGTGCCTCTGCCAACCAAAATGTACCTCAGGAGAGACGCATGCAGCCACACAGGCTCCGTTTTCGCTGGCAGAGGGCTAGTAAAAGAAACCAAAAGCAAAACAAAAGGAGAAATGTTTCCCTTTTGCATTTGAGCATGCTAGAAGGGACAGGAAATGAGAAAGGGAAAGAGGAAAGACAAAGAAAAAGATGGGAAAAGAGCAAGGAAGGAAAAATAAGAATAGAGGGGAAGGAAAAAGAAGAGAAGGGAGGGAGGGAGGGAGGAGATTATAATGAGAGTGTCTGAGGGAAATCAGCACTTAGCCACCACAGGTGACATCAAGCTGGCCACGCCCTCCACCACCCCACCACCCCCGAGGTCAAACACAACCCTGATACGATCCTCAATGAAATTGAGTTTGACACCCCTGCTTTTGATCTAGAATAAGAAGAATATCTCTCTGCTATTAATTAAAGCAGTCACATCCTTTTTCAGATTTTATCCAAACCTGGAAAAGATCCTTTTACTTTAATAATGATTAGGTAAAATAATTTTTAAAGCAGCAGCATATTTTCTAAGGTGTACAAAGCACTGTTTTAATGAATAGCATAAAGCTGCTGTGCTCACATGAGATCTGAAGCATTTCTTCCTAATTACTTTTGAAGACTTATCAAATTAATGAAAAATAATTACATCACTACTACACATTTACCACCCAATAATAAAGGTAGTCCTTGACTTATAAACATTGTGACCATTGGGAGTTACAATGGCACTGAAAAGAGTGACTTTTCAAATTTACAGCTGTTGCAACATTCCCATGGTCACATGATCAAAGTTAGACACACAGCAACTGATGTGTATTTATGATGATTGCAGTGTTCTAGGATCATGTGATTACATGACAAGTAAAGTCAATGAGGAAGCCAGACTCACTTAACCACCATGTTACGAATGTAACAACAACAGTGATTCACTTAACAACTATTGCAAGGAAGGTTGTAAAACAGTTTAGTTCACTAATTTCTGTATTTGACAATTTATTCTGTTCTTTTTTTCAGTGTCATTGCTAAAAGATCTAAAACATGCAAATATTGTTACATTACATGATATTGTCCATACAGACAAATCATTAACGCTTGTATTTGAGTATCTGGTAAGTTGTTTTTTAATTCTCTCAAGTGTTTAGCTTAATCATCTAAAGCTATAGAGATAGAAATATGGTAAGAAGCAAAATAATAATAAATGTAATACTTAACTAGCTATTGATGTTGCCTCCCAAGGATAATCCAGTCATTTCATCCCTTAGCCTGGGGGGTGAAATTTTACATCCCTCAGAGAGGGTCCGCAACTTGTGTCCTCCTGGATTCACAGCTGACATTAGAACACCACTTGTCGGCTGTGACCAGGGGGGCTTTTGCCCAGGTTCGCCTGGTGCACCAGTTGCGGCCCTATTAAGGCAGGAGGGGATGCACAGGTAAGCC